GCTTTGTCTTCAGCGGTTGTGTCGGAAAGGTGAGCATCATAAAATGCCAATTTAATAGAAGAAAGTATTCTTGCATTGAGGGAGTTCCTGCGTGGAGTCCCAATGTCCTTCTGCTACCTTAATACTAAACCTATAAATATATGCACATAGATCTGTTTCCCCATCCTCACATATATTTGCATATGTACATGTCTTTATCTAGACCTTTATAAATGCCCTTTGCCTCCCAGCTCTTTCCTCTATTTCCTTTGATGTTCCCCTTGTCCCACTGTCATGCCCAGTCTTTATTTGGGTTTTAGTAATTCCTCCTATTGCTTTTTTTATATTGTTTTTCCATTTGATTCGTTTATTTACACTCTACTCTTTATGATTTCTTTTTTCCTGGTGAGTGAAGGTTTATTTTGTTGTGGAAGATGCAGGGTCAGAACCTTGATTTTGGTTCTTGTTTATCTTTTCATGTGTGCATTCATTGCTACGAATTGCCCTCTAAGTACTGCTTTTGCTGTGTCCCAAAGGTTTTAGTATGTTGTGTGTCAATTTTCATTTGTTCCAGTGAATTTAAACTTTTTATTCCTTATTTCATCAATTTCCCAGTCGTTTTTAATCCATGTGCTGTTCAGTTTCCAGATATTTGCTTTCTTGTCCTGGCTCTTGCTACTGTTTTCAGTTTATGGCCTGTGGCCCGAGAAAATGGATCGAAGGATCTCAATATCTTTACATTTATTAAGCTTTGTGTCCTGGCTTATGGTCTATTCTAGAGAATGTTCCATGAGCACTGGGAAAGAATGTAAATTGTGTTGTTGTGGGTGCAGTGCTCTGTAATCTCACCCTAGTGTCACTGTTCCCCTAGCAGACATGGTGTGTGGGGGGAGGGGTGGGGGGTGAGTTTATTTCCAGACCTGAAGGGTGATAAGGACCATAGTCTCAGAGTTTCCATCCGTCTCTATTCAACCAGTAAACCGGGTCTCTTTTTATGACTTTGAGTTTTGGTCCACATTTGCATCCCGTTCTATCCAAGACCTTCTAATATGATCTCTTTCAAAGCACTTAACTGCTCTTTGAATCACAAGGTTAGTTTGTCTGAGCAAGGATCTCTTCACCTGAAGCAGATACGCTGTCTTCTGTTTCAAAGGTGACTTGATTCCACCTTCCCTTCCTCTCAACCAAATGAAGATCAGTTTCCCATTCCAAGGACTTCCACTAGAGCAGGGCTGATCCCCATTCAATCACAAGACCCCCCACATCGAAAGATGCATACAGGTAAGGCAAGAGTAACCCTGTTGTATACAGAAACAATGACTTCACATGTGGCTAAGAACTGTCACAAGGAAAATGTGTGCTCTGACAACCCTTTGGGCACGGTCCCCCTTCCCCTGCAGTCCTTTCTTTGAGGTGAAGCCCCAGTCCCTTTGTTTACATCCCCAGCTACAGAGGATTCCTCTTGAGACGTCTTGTCCCTCCGTTTCATAAACTGCAATAGTGCCTTCAGGAAAGCCTCTTGTTTTATCTTCCAGCTGAGGTCCGTCTTGTGCAGGGGTCCTCAAACTTTTTAAACAGGGGGCCAGTTCACGGTCCCTCAGACCCGTAGGAGTGCCGGACTATAGTTTAAAAAAACTATGAACAAATTCCTATGCACACTGCACATATCTTATTTTGAAGTTAAAAAAAAACCAAACGGGGCAAAAACACCCGGCGGGCCAGCTAAATGTCCTCGGTGGGCCACATGTGGCCCGCGGGCCATAGTTTGAGGACCGCTCGTCTAGTGCACCCACGAAGGTGAGCTGAGCAACTGCCGCATCACCCAGTGTGAACAGTCTTGGAGACAGTCTGGGGTGGTGCTACTCCCCCCACAGAGTTGCCGTCAGTTGGAACGGACGGACTTACAAGCAACGAGCAGATAATGACGGTGCTCCCTACACCATGAGGGCGGGTGACTTCTCTTTAGTTTCCTGTGTCCCCAGCTGCACACGGTGCACCCAAAAAACCCTGACTGAACGATGTGTTGCAGAACAAAACAGTCACTGAAGCGGAAAGAAGCAAAAGGCTTTTACTGAGAAGCAAGGTGCTTTGCAAATGGGGAATCACAGGACTGAAGGGGCTCTGAACTAAGTGGTCCAAGGAGGAAGCAGCTCAGACTGCTTCTATAAGACACAGAAGATCATTTAATAAAAAATAAAATCAGTGATTGGTTGACATTCATGTGATCGCTACAAAGAACTTCAGAAAAAAGAATTCAATGATTGGTTAGCATTTAGGGAATTGTTGCAAAATCGGGGGCTGGGTAGATAGCGTACGTTCAGAAAGGTTTTTCACGTTGCAAAAGCCATCATGAACTTGGGCACATCTGGTCGCTATGAGTCGGCCTCCACTCGATGGCAGTGAGAGTTTCTGGTATTGCTTTGGGCCTCGCAACAAGGGCAAACCCTCCTTGTGTGACTGCAGGGAGGGTGTGCGGACTATCTGTTCTGAAGATCGCTTGGGACTCGGTTTCCTAAGCAGCGGGCAACCCCCTTAAGCAAGCACAATTACACTGCTCTCTGGGATGGCCTACAAGTGGTTCTCTCAGGCGACAGTGGGGAGAGGCATCGGCATGACGGGGGGGCATATTCCTGGTGCAGGGGTTAGTTTTGAGTCAAAGGGGAGTTGGGGCCTCAGCCACCATCTCGGGTTGGGAGTCCTACGGTAATTACAAGTGCAGCTACTCAGACGAATGAAACGTTTCCTCTCCCGTTCTTGCATTGCGCTTCCTATAACCTTGGGCTGTGATGCAAGGCGTCTCGTGTTCTCCCTGCGGAGCGCCCCATTTCCCTCTGCACACAATCCTTCTGGTTCAGCGCTTGCTCCAAAGGAGCATTTCTCCATGTGCTGTTATGCTCAGCCTGGCCCCCAGACACTGCCAAGGGCACCCCCTCCTCACGCCCATGGCCCCAGATTCTGGAGTTCTCCAGCCTAGAGGACAGGGTAGACCCTGTGGGAAGTCTTATCCTCAAACGAAGGAGACTCAAACCACTCAAGCTTCGGAGGATGCAACTCCTTCCGCTTCACTGCTGGGGGCCTTGAGTTCGAGGGACTTCTAACCCCAGCCCACCCCACTCGGCTCCCCCGTCCTCCCGCTCATTCTGGGAAAGTGCAACGGAGCAACTGAAAAGCCTGGGAAGGGGCGTGTATCTGGCCCACAAACCTTGGTGGCCCAGGACTTGGCTAGAGCTTAAAGGAAGGTCTAGACGAAGGGGGAGTGGCTTTCAATGTTTGAGAGAAGACACAACACAGCCCTTGCCGGAGTGAGGGGCCTGGTGTTGGGGACCACCTCGTTGGAGGAAGGAGGTTCAGTCTTTAAGGAACCCTGGTCTGAAGAAAGGAGCCCTGGTGGCCTCGCGGGTCACAAGTTGGGCCACTGCCCTCCAGGTCAGCAGTTCAAAGCCACCAGCCGCTCCGTGGAAGGCTTTCTACTCCGATCAAGAGGTATGTCTCAGAAACCCACAGGGGCAGTTCTACCCTGTCCTTATCGGGTGGCATGATATGGAGTGGCAGCAAGTTTGTTGTTTTTGTGGTTGGTCTGAAGGAAATGTATCCCGGGAGAAAAGAGCAGCCCCTTGTCCGAGGGAGAAGGTCCAGTCTTGGGGAAGTCCCTAATCTGAAGGAGGCAATCCAGCCCTCCTTGAACAAAGAGGCCCGGCTTCTGCCGGGAGTGGACGATTTGAATGGAGGGGAGGAATTTCAGTCTGATGGAGGAGACCTAGCCTTTGGGAAGTCCTTCGGCTGAGTAGATGATTTGAATGGAGAGGAGGAATTTTAATCTGATGGAGGAGACAGCCTTTGGGAAGCCCTGCTCAGAGGGAGCAAGAGGAGGCTCTGCCCCTGTAAAGGTTCCGGAAACCCACAGGGGCAGTTCTACCCTGCCCTCTCGGGTCACTTGGAATCGGAATCCACACAGGGGCAGTGAGTTTGGTTTGGGTTAGGGTTTTTGTTTTTGTTCATGGTGAGTTTGATGGAGGAGACCTGCGCTTCCTCACCAGGAACCTCACTCCCCCCCCCCGCCAAAGTCACAGGCTCCATCTAGGGACAGGATACTCGGGGCAAAGGCAGGGTGCTTGTGGGGGAGGGGGTGGCAGAGGGGACCCTCAGGAGAGGGTGGTGGTCCCCAGGGCTACCATCAGCACAGGCAGGGCGAGGCTGAGGCGAGGCGCCGTGTCGGAGGTGCACTTGGTGGCCATGACCGCGCGCCGGCTGTTGGTGCAGTGGGGCTTCCTGGTCAGCTGGTAGCCAGAGAAGGCCAGGAGCCGCTGGGTATCCACCTGGGAGTCGCACAGGGCCCTGGAGCTGCAGCCCTGCACGCTCAAGTTCACAGACCGACTACCTGTGGAGAGGTGGGGAGGCAAACCGGGCTTTGCGGACGGATGCCCACCCTGCACACCCATCCAGGGCGCGTCTCTGGATCCGAGGGCCACCCACCAGCCGGCACCCTCCACCCACCCAGCCTGTTCCCTAACTAGAGTGTCTTTTCCCTCAAACTGTCGCCTCTCTGGCGGGGTCGCCTGGTGTGTGTCACCCGGTCAGATCCCAGGGCCCAGCCGGCTTCGAGGACAGTCTATGATAGAAGAAGATGGTTGCCACCGAACGGAAATGGGCAGGCCAGCCTCGGAGTGAAGGGCAGGTGTCTGCAAGTGAGCTGGGGGGCTGAGCACTCACATAGGTCAGGCTGGCTGCCCTATGTGCGTATCACAGATTGTCTTGCACGCGGGTGCAGGATCCATCAAAGCTGTCTTGACGGTGGAGTCCCTGGGTGGCGCAAACGGTTAACCCGCTGGACACCAACAGTGCCCTCGGAGATGCCTCAGAAGAAACGCTGGCGATCCGCCCGGAAAACCCAGCCGTCGGGAACCCTGGGGCGCAGGTGTGCTGCGACACGCATGGGGTCGTCATGGGTCACAGTGGGGTCCACGGCAACTAGTTTGGTTTTGGGGGTCCCTTAATCACAACCAGCAACCCCGCCCCCCAAAGTTTAGTGTGTGTGCGCGCGTATGTGTGCATGTCTGTGTGTGTGCATGTGTGTTATGTATGTGTTTATGTGTATGTGTGTCTGTAGGTGTGTTTGTATGTATATATGTATGTGTGTACCTGTGCACATGTGCATGAGTATGCGTGCATGTGTGTGTTTATGTGTATGTGTGTTTGTATGTATATGTGTATGTATGTACCTGTGCACATGTGCATGAGTATGTGTGCATGTGTGTATGTGTTTATGTGTATATGTGTGTTTGTATGTATACATATATGTGTGTATCTGTGCACATGTGCATGAGTATGTGTGCATGTGTGTATGTGTGTGTTTATGTGCATGTGTGTGTTTATAGGTGTGTTTGTATGTATATATATATGTGTGTGTACCTGTGCACATGTGCATGAGTATGTGTGTATGTTTGTATGTGTATGTGTGTATAAATGTATATTTGTGTGTTTGTATGGATATATGTATGTGTGTGTGTTTGTATGTGTATGTGTATGCATGTGTGTGTTTGTAGGTGTGTATGTGTGTGTTTGTAGGTATGTGTGTTGGTATGTATATGTGTATGTGTGCACCTGTCTATGTGTGTATGTGTATTTGTATGTGTATGTTTGAGTGCATATGTGTGTATGTGTAGGTGTGTTTGTATGTGTTCGTGTGTGTCTCTGTTCTGTGTGCGCGTGCGTGTGCACACACGCACATGCATGCACACGCACAGAAGAGGAAGTACCAATCCTGGGGACCTTAAGTAAACTAAAATCTCAAAATGTGAAGCTATTGTTTCTCCACACACCCTCCTCCCCCCAGGCCTCCACAGGCCTGCAGGCGGGGTTCCCATCTCTCTGAGCCTTCCCTGGAAGCCCAGGGTGGGGTGAGGGGTGGGCGCAGTGGGTTAGTGTTGGGCTGCTAACCACAAGGTGGGCATTGGAACCACCTCCTTGGGAGAACAGAGGAGGCTATCTCATCTCTGAAAGTCTTGGGACCCCGCAGCGGCCATTCTGCAGGGGCAGTTCTGCCCTGTCGCACAGCAGCATCGGGTCAGAAGAGCAGGTTGGAGCATACTCGAGGAGCTGGGGATCAAATCCAGCTCCTGCTCAAACAAATCGGAGTTCCTTCTCATCGCCCTTGAACTGGGGGACAGAAGGACATCTGAAGGGAGGGAGCAGGGGGAGGGAAAGCCCCAAGGATGTCACCTGCCGTCCCTCAAAGCATGAGCAGCTGCGCTGTCAGGATGAGAGGGGAAGAGCCCTGAGTGTCACCCCCCCCAGGCCTCTTTCTCACGGAAAGCCTCATCTTCCTCCCTGCTGGCGGTTTCAGCTCAACGTGGTGCCCCTTGCACCAACAGGACTCCTCAAATGGGCACCTTGAACTACCCCTTTTCAACGTTTCTTTAAAGGTTGGCCACCAGAAATAGTACATACGTATGAGTTCCATTAATTTCTGATGCACGACAGCGATGGAGAATGTTCATGCATCCTCTTGGTCTACTCTTAGAACAATTGTGTGGAAAACAGTAACAATCTATCATCTATCAAGGGGCCGCGAGGGTTGTGAGGAGGAGTGAAAAAAAGGAGGAGCTGATCCCAAGGGCTCAAAGGAAAGTAAACGTCTAGAACAGAACGATGGCAACATATGTCTGACTATGTCGGATCCAATGTATGTATGGACTGGAACAAGCGTAAGAGCCCCCAATAAAATGATCTTAAAAAAACAGGAAGAACAATCGTGTGAAGATTGGGATCCTTGAGAAGCACAGCATCGATGACCCCACTTCTAGTGGTGGCCCCAAAATTGGAACGCCAAGAGGCTGGCCCCAGCGCCCCACTCCTCTTTCAAATCTCTCACTTGGCTCTGCTCAGCCCATCCTCACAAAGCCCTGCAGGGTGGGCTTCCGCCATCCCCATGGGCCGGAAGAGAAAACGGAGGCTCAGAGGGGAAGCTGGTTGCCTCCAGCCACATAGACAGCAAGTAACAGGGAGAGGTGAGACCCCAGGCTTGAGCATTTCTGTCTGCCAAACCGTCATTAGGATGAAGCTCCGGTGCCCACACATGTACGTACACACACACACACATGTTCACGGTGCCCCGTTACCTATTTGAGTTATGTGCAACTGCATACACTCGGTCCCCCCGCTGAGACACTGCTGGTACAAGGTGCTATTGCAGCTTTCCAGGGATTCTTCACTGCAGGTAGGGCACAGGAACGGGCTCAAGGCGGCTGGCAGGGGCACAGCTGGTGTGGAAGGGAGCGTGAACATCAGCTGGGAAGACTCTCCAGACCTCCCTGGGCCCTCTGTGCTCTCAAAGGCGCTGCCGCAGAGGGATGACTTGAATGGGATGGCCCACAAGGGTGGGGAAGCCTGACTGGGGTTGGAGAGTGTGTGAGGGCCCTGCCTCCCTCCACCTAGGACAAACCGCTCTTCTGAGGCCACCCATCACCTCCCTGGCCACACGTCTGGTGGCTTTCTGCGGGGCTGCGTACCTGGAGAAGGGGGCTCCTCGCAGTCCCCCACGCAACAAGTGGCATTGATCCAGTAGCCCATGCCAGAAAGGGAGTTGTTTGATTTGCAGTCCGTGGAGGCCACGCAGGAGCCGTTTTTCCAGAGGACAGGTCGCGCGAGCCCCACGGCTGGAGAGAGGTGGAGAGGAGGACCAGTGAGGGAAGGCAGCCAAGATCCTCCACCCATCGGCACCCCCCAAATCCCGCGGGGTGTCACCCCATCGACATTCACTCAGCCCAAGATCGACCTCCTAACACATGTCAAGCCGGCCATCAAAACTTGCTCATCAAGACATGTAGCTCAACGAACTGTGGTGACGATGCACAGTGCTTCCTGAGGGGAGTGAGCGATGGAATTGTATGATGGGTGAATGGGATGCCAATAAGACTGTTGGGAAAAAATAGGAGTAAGAAAGCTTGAAAATTATATATATAATTATGTAGATAAACATATCATTTTTATATATTTATATACATACAAAGATACATAATCTATGTACGTGTGTGTATGTATATCTATATGACACTAGTTCAAGTTTTGCCTGATGCTTGCTCTCTCCCCTTAAGGGTTCCAACCAACAGGATCGGCACCTGTTGTGTCACCCCCGAGCTGCCGATGAGCCTGTCACAGATTTGGCCAGATGTTTCTTTCAGGATCCCAGCCAACCCCATCCCTACTGCTGTTCCACCCTAACTGCACCACTGCATCGATCCCTATCCATGCTTCTCCAAGGCTGCAAAGAATTGGTTTCTTCCCTAAAGGGATCCGTCTCCCTTTAGGGGGGCAGGCTGGCCGGGGCCCGGAGGGGGCAGTCCCTGCTCCGATTGTCGTAGGAGGTGCCAAGATGGCCACGACCACACTGGCCATCCCACGCTCTCTTTTGTGATTTGACGTTGCCACTCGCCCAACAAGCGGTGGCGTCGGCTTTCGCATCCCTTAAATCTGAGCGCCCGCCTTGCTTCTGAGCAGTGGCGCCAGGCAGAATGGACGCCATGCCGGCGCTGAGCCTAAGCTGTAAGAAGCATGGCGGTTTCTGCTTCCCTCGTGGAAAGCAGCCACCACGGCCATCAGGAAGCTCACGCCAGGCTAATAAAGGAGGAGAGGCCCCTGGGAGAGAGGAGCTGAGGAAGAAGAGGCTGTCTTGAGTGTGCCCGTCGAGCTCCCGGCTGAGTACAGCTGCCTAAGTGATCTTATCACTCGGAGCAGAAGAACTGCCCAGCTGAGCCCAGTCAACCTGCAGAACCATGAGACGTAAGGCACTGGCGTTGTTAACGGGGTCCTGGTGACACAGCGGGGCTGCTAACCAAGAGGTCAGGGGTTCTAATCCATTTTTCCACTCCTCCCTCGGGAGAGCGCCGTAGCAGGCTGCCTGTCAAGACTGCAGCCTGGGAAACTCGGCGGAGTAGCTCTCCCCTGCACCGCAAGCTCCCGGTGAGTCATCATTGCCTTGGCAGCGGTGGGTTTGAGGAGTTTGGTGGTGGTGTTGTAAGCCAACCAGTTTGGGGGCGGTTTCTCTGACAGCAGAAATAACTGAGACAAAAATGGCATTTGGATTTCAAACTCACCACCACCACCACCAGCCACCTGCTGCCGCCCACCCCCACTTCTGTCCTCCAGGCACAGGGACAGGCTAGACTGGCAGACAAGGTTGAGAATGTGCACGCATACAGACCGGCAAGGGCAGCAGAGGCCTCTCCCACTGGGGAGAGCAAGGCGAGGTCTTGGGGTGCCCCGAGCCCCATCCTTGCCTCCCGCACCCCACCGCCTGCCCCAGGAGCTGTCACCAGAGATGACGGTGATCCGAAGGCAGTAGTTCTCCTTCTCAGTGCAGGGGAGAGGCTCACAATTCTGCGGGTCTGAGCAGGTGAAACAGGTGGTCACTTTGGCATTGCCTTTGCTCTTGTAGGGTGTGGCTGTGTGGGAACCTGGGGAGAGAGGAGAGGGGGTTGGCTGGAGTGCACGTGTGCACACGTGTGTGTCTGCGCGCATCCACCCGTGCGAGCCCACGTGCACGAGGGTGTGTGCTGTCCTTACTGCCTAAACAGCGCCTCCACAGATCTTCTCCAGACTCGTCCAGTCACCGTGCACTGGGCACTTCCGGGCGGGGGTTGTGCGCACTTAGCGGATGTGGACACTGAGGCCCCATAGGGGGGACCCTTCTCCAGGGTTGCACCTCAGAGTGCCTCAGTGCCTCGCGTGTGTGTGTGTGTGTGTGTGTGTGTGTGTGTGTGTGCCTCGTGTGCAGGCTGCTGTGTGTGCTGGCAGCGGGCTTGCCGTGTGTTCCGGGCGTGCCTGTATGCAGCCAGGAAGAGGTGTGTGTGTGTGTGTGTGTGTGTGCGCGTTTACAGGTGTATCTGCATGAACACATGTATGGGCAGCCCAAGACTGGTTCTGTGAGTCTATCTTTGGGTCGGGGTGTGCTTGGGCTCCCAGCGAGGGGTGTGGTGCACACACATCAGCAAATGGATAGCCGTGGCTCTTCATGAAAGAGAGTGAGGTGCTGAGCGCTTCTGCAGGGTGTGTTTGAATGTGTTGGCGTTGCCTCTGCAGCCCAGTATGCGGATCCAGGGTGTCCATTACTGGATGTGCTGTGCCCAGAGGGATGTGCTGTGCTCAGAGGGATGTGCTGTGCCCAGAGGGATTGTCATGCGGAAAATTAGATAGATAGATAGATAGATAGATAGATAGATAGATAGATAGGCTATAGCTAGATACATAGATAGACAAATAGATGGATAGATAGTAGATAGATATCCAGACAGACAGACAGAAGGAGACATTTAGACAGACAGATGATAGACAGATACACATGCAGACAGCCAGATAGATAGATATTCAGATAGACATCCAGACATGCAGACAAACAGACATCTAGATAGATAGACAGATAGATAGATAGATAGATAGATAGATAGATAGATAGATAGATAGATAGATAGATGATAGATAGATGGATGGATGGATGGATGGACGGATGGATAGACAGACAGACAGACATATAGATATGTCTGCAAAGGAAGCAAAGAAAACACATTCAAACACACCTTATAATAGATAGACATTCAGACAAACAGACATTCAGGTAGATACAGACAGGCAGACATGTAGACAGACGTTCAGCTAGATGGATGAGTAGATGAGATATAGACCTTCAGACAGCTAGCTAGAGAGTTAGACTTTCGGAGAGACTGCTAGACTGACAGACAAACAGACATCTAGTTACAGCTGTGGCACGTCATCCCCAACTCCTGGCGCCTCCTGTACACAGAGGGACATCGCCTGGTCCCGTGTCCTCAGGCTCGTCACATCCAAGGCCATGGTCACGTCTACTGTGCAGATTCAGCTCACCAAGGCGCTCCCCACCTCTCCCCAAACAGATGTTCAATCCAGTTGCTAGCAGCTGCCCTTTCCCCATTTCCAGCCTCTATCCGTCTTGTTCAACTTGAACTCCCTGGGTCTGCCTTTTTCTTCAACTTGTGCTTATTCATTTAATCACCTGCTTTGCTTTTTCAAAAGTCCAATTCCCAACACCTGGACCCAGAAGCAGCTATGGTGAGAATAGTCTCCCCGCCCCGCCCCGTCCCCCCACTGCCCCTTTAATCACTATGCTTGCAAATCCAACCAACAGACCCTCCCCTTGCCTCACAGAACCGGCCAGCTGGGGTGGTTTCTAACAAAGGAATCTCCTGGAATTCTGGGGTACCGCTCTGGCTGGGGGGGGCCATCATGACTTTGTCCCTCTAGAAATGTCTGTGATTCTATTCCGCTCGCTCATTTAATAAGCTGCTGCCCAGAAAAGACAGTTTCAATGAACATCTCTTCCCTGGGAGGCCAAAAAAAAAAAAAAATTGTGAGTGTTCTTTTTCGAACAAAAAGACGCCGATTGGCAAATCTGTCTTCTTTCACAAGCAAGGAAGTGAAGAAAGGGAAAGTGACAGACCGAGACCATGAGTGTCAGATTTCTTAATTCAGCAGACTTTAGATCGGAATTGAACTGACCTAACAGGATGCTTGTGTTTGGAAAGGGAGCATCTCTGTAGGTGTGGCTTGGGTACCAGAAGAACAGGTGGATGCTGGTAGATGTGAGGCAATGCGCCATTGGGCTTATCTGCATGTGTGTGTGTGTGTGTGTGTACATGCATGGACAACTGCACTTCCTGGGAGCTGGACGGAGAGGTGCGTGCTGAGAACACACAGGCTTAGGAAGAGCGTGAGGCTGCAGGGAGTAGCCGGGGGTGGGGGTGGGGGGTGGGGGTGTGTGTTGTTCTAGGAAAACAGGCTTTACAGCACCTGCCACCGGAGACAGAAGTGAGCTGCTGCAGACTGGCCTGGAGGTGAGATGAAATCCAGACTCTGTCGGGCCCAAGGTGGCGTTTTCTGGCAGCTGGCAGATGTTGGCGGTGGCGCAGCCCCTCAGCATTTGGGGACGGTGCCCTGCAGAGACAAGTCACATCCTCTTCTGGTTAGAGCCTGAATCGCCAACTATTCAACACATATTTCTCTCTCATAAAATCCTTAAACATCTCTTTGGGGAATCTAAGCTGATTCATTTTCCAAAATGCCTGATTGTTATTATTTTGTTTTCTTTCACAACCTCTTCTTGCCTGCTCGGGATTCCCAGGGTGGTGTAAACTCCTGTCTGCGAGGAGGAAAACGCTTGGCTGCTAGAATCCACCCTGAGATGCAGCGGCAGAATGGCCTGGCAGTTGATCTCTGGAAAATCACAGTCTTTGAGCATCCTGGAGCAAAGTTCTGACGCATGTGAGTCTTGTGTGCTACACTGTTCCCTCTTAAAGGGTTCAGCCACTATTGTAAAGCGGCAGCCAGGTTGGGAGGAAGCCCGATCTAAGCCATGTGTGGAGCCCCCTGAGAACACTCCAGGTTCACGAGGGCCCAGTAAGTTGAGGAGCGGTGCCCTGGCTGCTCTTCCCAACTCCACACTCACTGCCACCAAGAGATTCTGACCCCAGGCCACCCATAGAACTGCCTGTGGGGTTCTGAGGCGGTAACTCTTTAGGGGAGTAGAAAGCCTCGTCTTTCTCCCACGGAGAGGCTGGTGGTTTCCAACTGCTGACTTTGTGGTTTTCAGCCTGACGCGTAACTCTCTGTGCACCTCTGGCTGCTCAAGACAGACCCAGGAAGGTCCAGCTGAGCACTTCTTGAATACTCAATGAACAAAAGCTGTAGGAGATCGTTTAAAACCATCGTCCATGTTCCAGGGCAGGGGTGGGGGACATCCCGCCCGTGGGTCATCCATCTAAGGCCTGCAGAACCAGGTGGCATCACAAGCCTCCCCAGAGTACAGCCATTGACCTAATAGGGCTGGCTAATTTCTGAGTCGATAATTTTGTATGACCCACGAGTGATGTTCTAAATATCTAAATAACCTTGGCAGGAAAAAAGTGCTCCCCTAACCCCCACCCCCCATGTTCTAAGGCGTTACATTGGTGGTATGTCGGGTGTGGGGCTGATTACATAGCAAGAAATAAGGAGACCAGGCATGCAAATGAACCTCAACACTTCTGCAGGGGCTTTGAAAAGTCCATGGACAAATTCCATGGTCTTTGCATTCTATTTTTCCACCGCTGTTTTGAAGGCTCCTTTGGGTGGGAAGACCTGTCATGCAGACCCTCAGGAAGAAGGAGGGGGTCCTTACCTCCACTCCACATCCCATTGATGGTGACACACATAATCTGGTTCCCGATGCAGTTCATGACAGAAAGGGAAGCACACGGGGCCAGCTCATTTCCCGAAGAGCAGTATTCACACTGCACGCCATTGGGCTGACCCTTGGGCTCTGGCTCTGCTAGAAACAGGTACAGTCGGGGTTACGGATTGGATTGTGTGCCCCGCCCAGAACAGGTGTTGTAAATCCTAACTTCGGTGCCCATGTTGATTATCACTCCGTTTAAAAACGGGTTGTCAAAAGATCCAAAGCAAACAACTGTATCAATATGAGTGAGCGGAGTTGGAGTGGAGACCCAAAGCCCTTCTGTAGACAACTGGATATCGCCCCCACCCTACCCCCCAACACACACACAGAAGGGTTATAAGGAAGGGACGATTCAACCAAGTGCAGTATAGCACCGAAGAAATACACATCATTCCTCTAGTTCCTGAATACTTCCCCCTGCCCCACTACCATGACGCTGTTCTACCTTACAAATCTGGCTAGACCGGAGAATATACATTGGGACATAGAAGAGCCCTCGACACATGGAATTCAAGACAGATAAGCCCCTCAGGGAAAGTAGTAGGAGTAGCGATATCATAAGGGGAGGGGGATGGTTGGGGAGAGAGGGAGAGGAGAAAGGGGGAACCCACCACAAAGTTGGATATATAACCCCCCCTCAAGGAAACGAATAACAGAAATGTGGGTGAAGGGAGACAACACGGACAGTGTAAGATAAGAAACCACAAGAACAATATATAATTGATCAAGAATTCACGAGAGTGGGAGGGTGGGGAAGGGAGGGGGAAAAAGAGGGGCTGATACCAAGGGCTCAAGTGAAAAATGTTTTGGAAATGATGTTGGCAACATATGGATAAATATGCTTGATACAACTGATGTATGGACTGTTGTAAGAACCCCCAATAAGATGATTTTTTTTTAAAGAAAATAAATGGGTTGTCTCTCTCACGTCAATGAGGCAAGATTAGTGTCAATTATATCCTGAGCCATTTCCTTTTGAGATCAAGAAGAGTTTGTCAAATGAGGAGAGCGGAGCATCAGTGAAGTCCACATGGAAGAAGCAGTTAAGCCTGTGTGATCCAAGGATCATAAAAAATAAAATCCAGATCCAAAGGAGGGAATGATATCAGAGTTTAAATTGTGAACACCCGGTTTGCAGAAAGCTAAGGAATGCATTGGAAGCTCAAAATCCATTTGCACATGGATTAAGCTCCCATTGAATCCCCTCTGACCATAGTCCAGGGAAGTGAATAGCTTTGTATCACATAGAAAGCATCACAAAGCCGATGATGGCTGATGTAGTTAACCTAAAATGTAATACCTTACCATTTGATCTTCCTTTTGACCTAGTTTCAAGTTGTGTCAGCTTTCAATAATTTCTTTTTTATTCGAATTTTTCTATATTTTGTTTAGTCATTGCTGGTCTTTGTTTCCTGTTTGCATTTTGTATGGTTTTCTGTATATGAAATCGAGGTAGGTAGAGCTATAAAGACGGCCATTGGATTAATGATTAAGGCCGTGGTTCTCAACCTTCCTAATGCCGCAACCCTTTTAAAACAGTTCCGCGTGATGTGGTGACCCCCCAACCATAAAATTATTTTCCTTGCTACTTCATCACTGTCATTTTGCTACTGTTATGAATCAGGCGACCCATGTGAAAGGGTCATTCAACCCCCAAAGGGGTCTTGGCCCACAGGTTGAGAACTGCTGATCTAGGGTCAAGAGGGGATAAACGGGGAGCTAACTATGAGTCCGAGAAGAAAAAGTCTGAAGAAAATCTTAATATGATTGAAACCATTTAATTGTATGATATGTGAAGTATATGCCCACACACTATTTTTGAAAAATGGTGAGGAGCAGAGATGGGGATGAGAGATGTCATGACACATGAAGGCCACCCAGGAGCAGAAACTCAGAGACAAAGATCTCCCACAGTCAGGAGAGAGAGAGAGAGAGACTCCTCTGGAGCTGGCATGTGGGATGTGGGCCTCCGCTGCACAAGACCTCTTCCAGGTGTTGGAAAGCAAGGATATCTCTTGGAAGATGAAGGTGGGCTATGGTGTTCTCAATCGTCTCTGGGCACGTGAAAGTTGGACATCGAATAAGGCAGATGGGAAGAGCATGGATGCATTTGAGGGAAGATGGGAAGAGCATGGATGCATTTGAGGGAAGAT